AACTTTCATTTTGTGATCTGATAAGAATGACTGAATCGAATACACAAAAATATACAAAGAATGAAGTATTTATGAATATATGTATGAAGTCATTTACAGAATTAGGAAGTAAGATGAATGCAAATGCATCACTTTATGATGAAGTAAGAAATTGTTTTGCCAAAGCTACAAATGCATTTGGGAAGCTTTGCAACTGCCGACAGAATGAGAGAGGGGGCATCAAATTGAACACCCAAAAACGGGTTTATAGAACAGCTGTTTTGATCCCACTGTTGTATGGTACAGAATCGTGGACCTTCATATAGGTCCCATATCAATGGGCTGGATGTCTTCCACAAAAATTATCTCCATGCAATCTGTGGCTATACTTTTCATGATAAGGTGTCCAATGCTGATCTTTTCATAAAATGCAACATTGATGAAATTGAGACTTTTTTGATGCAGTCACAACTTTGCAGGGTTGGTCATGTTGCAAGGATGACTGACAGCAGAATACCTACGGTCCTCATGTACAGCCAGCTTTACAGTGGATAAAGGAGTGTTAAGCAGCTGTGGCTCAGGTATAAAGACAAGGTAAAGAGTAATCTCTTAGTTGTGAATGTGCCTCATAATAACTTTGAGCGAGTTGCCCTGGATAGAAATAACTGGAGATATTTGTGCAAGAGTGGTATCAGAAATTTTGAAATCAGTCTTTTTGACCAGCTAAGAGATGAAAGATAACGGTAAAAAGCATCAGCAAATATCTCTGTTGCTATGTCCTGAGATCCTTGCTGTTGCATAATATGTGGACTTCTATGTAGGTCACTAGCAGAACTGAAGTTTCACATCCAACATAAACATAAAAACTGAATGAGATTGTTAGATCCTCATACATTAAAATTGATGGGTGAGTCCATAAATAGGATAAAAATATAGTTTCTGCCCACCAAATAAGCATTAGAATAATACAATAGACCTACCCATAATGCATCACTGACTAGTATATATATATATATATATATATATATATATATATATATATATAGTCAAGCCAAAACACAATGTACATGGCCTGATGATTGTATTTAAGCATGAAACAGACTGTTGCAGCTGGCTGTTGATCTCAATGTTCACTTTTTTTGTGTGTGTGTATTTTACATAAATTTACACACACTTAACTTCTATGTGCCATGTACATTCAGGATGTGAGTGAGCATGGCTCTCCACAATTTCCTGTCATTTTATGTTATTTCCCCTAATCCCTGTTCTTTTACATAAGCTTGTTTGTTAGGTTTATATGCTGATTTCCTCTGTCCATCTTGCCTTCAACATATCCTGTGAGTTTAAAATTTTCTAAGCCCTCTTTCCTCATTATGTACCCTAGACATTTCAGTTCTCTCTTTCTGATACTAATTATTGGAGTTCTTTTTGTTACCATTTTCTCTAAAACTTTGGCAATGCTCCCATGTTTAGTCAATGATATTCTCAACATCCTTCTGTAGAACCACATTTCTGTTGCTTCAAGTCTTTTGTTTATCTACAAGGAGATTGTCCAGCATTCACTGTCATATGACTGATATTACATAACACTTAAGCACTCTTTTTTGTTGTTTCTAATGTGATTTTCCTGTTTCTTAATACTTTGCTTAGTTTTTTGAAAGCATTTTCACTATTCCAATGTGCCTTTGAATTTCAGTGTTGTATTTTCCACCCTCTTTTAAAACACTTCCCAGATATTTACATTTTTGTACTTGTTTGATTTTGGTATCTCCAATTTGTAATTCCCATGGCCTTTTTTTTTTCAGACAATCATGCATTCTATCTTCTTACAACAGTGTTCTATCCTGATAGGACTTCTAATTCTCTCAGAATCACCTCACTGTATAGGTTGAATAATTCTGGTGAGAAAACATCCTTGTCTTACATCCTTCTATTCTTGTATAATTACTAATTCATTTTTTATTGACACGCAGGCAGTTTGCATGGAAGTATAGGTCTTGGATTATTCTAACATCCTTCCTAAATATATCAAGCTTACCTAACAATTCTTTGTGACATACTTTATAAAACACTTTTGCATTAACACATGTAAAGAAACATCATTCAATACAAATTTTTTTTCAATTTCAAATTTAGCCCATATTCAGTTTCCATAGCAACAGCAAGTAGGAAGCATCGTACAATTGATACACATGTCATAGTCTCATAGATTCTTTGTTTCAGTTTACTTGCAACAACCATCTCTACTTTCTTTTTTTAACTTAGAATATTTTCCTGACTTTAGATAGTAATGGAAAAGAAGAAAGATACAGAACGACCTCAGTTCTTGAATGTCTGATATTTCGAACAAATTGGTTTTCGAACAGAAAATTCAAGATGAAAATACCTTGGTTATCAAAGAAAATTTAAGTTTTCGAACAACATTGATGAACCAAGTTAACCCAAATGGAATCATTTCTGAATTGACAGCCGTTTTGTATACATTCATGTGTTGTGCCATGCTTTTCTTTCCAATTTCATAGTACTGTGACTTGTCCTGTGAGTGTCAAATTTTCTAAACCCTCTTTCCTCATGTACCCTAGATATTTCACTTCTCTCTTTCTGATATGAAGTATCAGAGTTTTTTTGTTACCATTTTCTCTAAAACTTTGACAATGATCCTATGTTTAGTCAGTGGAATTCTCTACATTGATTGCTATTGGAAAATTAGTTTTGGTTTACAAACTTTGAGTTACGAACGGCCTTCAGGAACAACTTAAATTCGTGAACCGAAGTTCTACTGTATAAGCGAAAAGTTAACTTTCAAGCTGAGACTTTAAATCATTCCAAGATATTATAGAGGAGAGAAAATGGTAACGACAAGATGCAAATTTAAGATGAATGAAGCAACCATATAAACATTCTGAAACAAGCCGATTTTAATTTATTGATTTGATTTATTAGAGTTCATCAACATTTTGCAGGTAATTTAAAGACAAAATATTTTTAGATTGTAATAATGTTTCTTGGGAGATATTCACTGCCATATAGGATAGACTGATATTGCATAAAAGTTCACTATTGGACAATGGCAGAATTAAAAGTGATTGAAGTGTTTTGTATTTTATGGTTTATCAAACCATAAATGGTTATTTAATGTCCAAACCGTTTGAACTGTAAGAATAAACCTGTTTCTTTTTTTTTTTTTTCAAGCAACTATTGCATTAACAATTTTTTGAGAATGACAATGAGTTTTCCAGATACATGTCCTACTATTTAACCCATAGGTGGGGGGAATTGATGGATTCATACCTTTCCCAAGTGTAAGTGAATTTAATGGACCTCACTGGTTCTACTGATTGATGGATACCTTTGCAGACTATTTAAAGATAGGAAGTATTTTTAAAATTGTAAGAACATTTTGGTGAGGAGATAATGATTTAGTGATACAAGTTTTACTAATTAACCCCTAGCTTGGGGGAAAAGAAGTGGATTCATACTTTTCTAATGGTACTTCTACATAAGTGAATATAAATAAACCTAACTGGAATTGGAACTCAGCTCTCCAATTAATAATTCTGAGCTGTTACTCATTACACTACTCGCACATCCAAATTTACAGCACCAGCTATTCTGAAACAGTCACCTATCTAGGTACTAACCTGGCTTGATGTTGCTTAACTCTGGTGATCGTACATGAACCTGTGGTTCGTCATGATATGGCGGAGAGCTCATTGAAATTTGAACTGAAAATGAATCTGCCAGTACTAATCCAAAAAATTCATAACAGAATGTTGAAAGCTTGTAAAATAAAGCAATGATGTCAGGCAGATCTTCAATGTTGACGAAATCCCTTCATTTTGAAATTGTTTACATACAAAAATTTTCCTTACAAAGAAAAAAAAAATGCTCATAATTAGAAAGCCTCAAAAGACCGAATCACAATTTTAATGGGACTGATTGATTTTGTTTTTTAGGGTTTATCAACCATTTGTGAGTAATTTAAAGCCAAAACCTATTTTGGATTGTAAGAACAATTCTTTTTTTAGCAAGTAATATTACATGAACAATCATTTGAGAACAACAATGATTTTTACAGATACAAGTCCTATTATTTAACCCATAGCTAGGTGGAGAAGATAGATTCATACTTTTCCCAAAGTTATTTGTGCATATGTGAATACAACTCAACAGGAATTTGAACTGAGCTCTCTGATTTATCATTCTAAGACACTATCCATTACCCCAATCGCACATCCAAGAAGATTTAAAAGCCAGCTGGAATTCAAACTTGGCCATCCGATCAATTTTAATGGGAAGAAATACTGATGGTAACTTTAAAATCAAACCAACAGTATACAGCAAGACTGAAAATTTAAGAGCAGTCTGAACATATGAACAGCAAGCTTTGACAGTTATCTTGAGCTCAAATAAAAAAAATCAAGTTGCTTTTTGAAGATTTGTTCAATATTAATTTCTATCCAGCAATGAACAAACTTTGTTTAACAAAATAAACTTTAAAGCTTTGTTAATTTTGATTTGATTAACTGATTTGTTTTTTTTTTTTGGCTTATTAACCCTTTTCAGGTGATTTAAAACCAAAATATATTTTTAGATTGTAAGAATTTTTTTTTTTTTGGAGATAATGATACAAGTCTTACTAATTATCCCATAGCTGGAAAGGAGAAAGGGTATTTGTGCCTGAGATGTTAAATTAGAGTTTTCCTTCTTCAAAGACTAAGTTTGGTTTGGTTATTTTTGTTTAGTGACATATCAATCTTTACAACTGGTAAAAGTTGATATGTTGCTAAACATAATGCGGAAATCTAAATATTTTCTATGCAATTTTATTTTTTAGGAGATAATAATAGTTTTAGTGATACAGGTCTTACTAATTAACCTATAGCTGGGGAGAGAAGTGGATCCATACCTTTCCCAAGAGTATTTGCACATAAGCGAATATAATGAATCCAACAGGAATTGGAACTCCAATTAACAATTCTGAGCCGGTATCCATTACAGCACATTCATACATTCAAGCTTACTGCAACTGATATTCCCAAGTTGTCCCCCATCTAGGTACTAACCAGGCTCAATGTTGCTTAATGTCAGTGATCAAAGGGGAACTAGTATTTGTTTCAACATGATATCATCACAAGTCTTTGTTAGTTTTGAATGTTTCTAATCATCCTCCTGCTATAAGGGAATTAAGTGAAATTACAAAGGCCATTTTACAACTGATTTATTCCGGGCAAATCTTGCAATGTTCAAGGTTGATTATATGTAGATCACTTTTGAACAAACAATTAGAGCTACTGTGATTGATTAGCCAATTACATTGGTGTTTTTTTTTTTAAATCATTTCACCCCCAAGCAAGGCAACAAAACCACCTAAACATGGGGGTTTACTGAATGTGAAAGAATACAAGAAAAAACACTATTAAGATGAGAGAACAATAAACAAACAGAAACTAAGAAGACAGGAGATAACGATTGATATTGCATTTAAATTTTTGAAGATCAAAGGCAATAAAGCCACTAAGATGCAAGGGGTTACTGAGTTTTAGAGAATATGAGAAAAACTAATATTAATGAGAGAGGACAGTAAAAGAACTGGAATTAAGAAGAGAGAAGATAACGATTGACATTGCATTTAAATTTTTGGAAGATCAAAGGCAATTAAAGCCACTAGGATGCAAGGGGTTACTGAGTGTTAGAGAATATGAGAAAAACTACTATTGATGAGAGAGGACATAAAAGAACTGGAATTAAGAAGGCAGAAGATAACGATTGACATTACATTTAAATTTTTGAAGATCAAAGTTGACTGGAAATCAAAAAAGGGAAGATTTTGTAGTTTGAATGAAGGAAGAGGAGAAAACGGTATGTCATTTACCTTGTGGCGGGGGAGAAGTGAAAGATGAAGAAGGAAATGTAAGAGAAGGATGAGAATGATTTTTTTTATTTTTTAAACCACAGAGTTCCACAAGAAGGAAGTAAGAGAAAAGAAACTGCTAACATAGAACTTACAGTTGCATCTAGTCATTTTAAATGTAAATTGATAAGATCTTGCTGCCAATCTAGTACATGCTTTTAAATTCAGTCTCAGTACCATAGAGGAAAGCTCACCAGAACAATTACCATGAAAGTATTTATAGAAAAGGCAGAGAGAAGCTATGTTATGGTGGTGAAAAATTGACAGAATCCAAGATGCCAGGTCAGAACCAATGGCACTGCAGATTCTTTTGATTTTATCAAGAATCTAAATATATAGCAGAAGCACCAGACCAGATATGGCAGCAATATTCAAAGCAAGGATGAATGGTAGACTTATAAATATGTAAGATAGATTCTTCTTTGGATTTTATCAAGAATCTCTAAATATATAGTTGGAGCACCAGACTACATGTGGCAGCAATATTCAAAGCATGAATGAATGGTTGACTTATAAATATGTCGGATAGATTTGGGGAAAGAAAAATATTGTCTAGAGTTCTGGAATAAATTCAGTATTAAAAACAGAATTGAAAATGCTCAACAGTCATAGCAGCAAGTGACGTCAAGCAAGATTAGGCGTGTATGGAAACAACTTTTGCTTCCCTGTAGAAATTATTCTCAAGAGTTTCAGTAACAATTTGCGATGGTCATTGACAAAATTGCAAGCATTGGACAGCAATTAGGCTTTAATGAAGTAGATTCTGCAAATGTACAGGAATTACTGGACCCACATCATAAAGATTTGAGTGATAATGATCTCATTAATGCTGAACCACACTCTGCATAGAATAACAATGATGAATGCACCAAGGGAGAATATGGTCCCAAAAACAAATTGAATTTGCAACTGTTCCAAAACATTTTTCATGCTTCTGAAGAGATGAAGCAACACCTCATAAAGTCAGATCCAGATTTTGAAAGGATTATACAGCTCCAACCAAATGATTGATAATGCATCCAGTTGTTATTGGAAAGAGTTACAAAGAATAAAAAACTAAATCTTTCTTGAAACTGATTTATCTCAAGAAAAGCTTGTTTGAACAATGAATTTATGATTTGTTTTGTTTTTTTGTGCCTATTTTAATTTTTCTATTATATTTTTTATGTCCAATAATTATAAAATATCAATGTTGGTGGCTTTCTCCCCCTGCGGCAGATTATGCACTAACATGAGATATTTGTTACCACAACTGGTGATCTTAGGTGGCTGGGTTCAATGATTATAAGTCAAAGTTTGTCCATTCATGCACATTACCATGCCATCACTTAGCTTCTACTCTTCTGCTTAGGCCACATTCTGTTCATTTGGTGTTACAAAATCTTGCTTTAGACAATGGATACGATAAGGGTAAGCCTTATGACTTACAAAAGCTCCGCAATTTTTGTGTCTTCGACCAGTATATAATTCCTCATAAACCTCATCATATGGTTTTGAAATGCTTTGATTTTCTTTACTGATGCTGAAGTTCAGTTGACACACTCAAAACTTTGATGTTACAGCAAAGTTGTTCTTCAAAAAAGAAGCTCAACCAATTCTACATTGGACTAGAATGATTCCATCATTTTTGCATAACAGTTCATGTCTGGGATATATGAATTCAGGTACTTGTTTAATTGGTTTGCAATAGCTTATAAGTTGAAGGTTCGGGTTGACCTTATTGGCGATCCTGCACTTGGTTTTAGAGACATTGCGTGTCTGGCTAAAAACTCCACAATCATGCAATAATTAAGTCATTGCGTGATTTGCTTAAAACAATAATATCATAAGCATGACTTAAGAAATATACAATACATTAAAAAAACAAATTTTGAAAAAGTTGAATAAATGATTTTTTTTATTGCCCATTTATCATGTGGATTAAATAAAACAGCCATAGCTTACAAGAACACCTTAAAACAACGTAACGTTTGTCTGGAAGAGTAACCAAGATAATTAACTTCCTGGAACAAGATAAACTACTAAACAAAAGATCAGAATTCATTTCCAAATGAAGAAACAAAAACAAATTCCTATTAAACTACCTACAACCACATCATGACCAAAAAGAATAAATAAAATCATATAATCTCAATCTAATAAACTTTATTCCAGAAATCAAAGCATAGAAATAATATATACATGGAAGAATGATTGATTCATTGATTTGTCTGTTTAATGGCATATCAAATCCTTATGGGTCATTTAATGCCAAAATTAAATTTTCTAGGGAGTTTGGAAGGAATAAAAATATGATATGTTGTTATGCTTTCACAATACATGGTAGATGATATTCAGCTTTTGTGCATATACATGTTTGTGTTGACATGATTATGAGAGGTGACCACACGTGCTTTGCTGTAGTTATATTTTGAAAGACAGTTAGATTTAAGAAATTGTAGGATATTATATGGACTAATGTCATGAAAATTCTTTCATGTTGGTTGTTTGGTAGTATTTTAAATGGATTTGGGTGAAGTTGCTACAGTTTGTTAACATGTGCATATTGTTGGTAATTTTTTTCATATAAAAATGTACTGCTGTTATTTTTACTAGAGAAATGTATTGGTAGGGAGTTCACCATTTACCCATAGCTGGGACCCTAACCAATGCTACCACCCAAGACCAGGGAGGACCTGGAAACAACTGCAATTAAGAGTTTGTTCCAAACTCCTCAAAACCACCAATCTTCCAATTAGAGGCCTTGCTGCCAGATGTAGTTTATCATCATACCCCAAACTATACAAAAAACATGAATAAATGAATAATATAAGCTAAGATCAGAAAGGTGACAGGTAAATCTACAGGAGAGCATGGCTGTAGTAAAATCAATATATGTATATATTTAGTTCTATTAAACAACATTTCATAGAAAAACATAGCCATGTACATAATATTAGACAGATATTAGTTGATAACACAATAATACTCACACATACACACAGTAAAAAGGTCCTTCAGATATTGGAGGCCATCTACATTAAAACAAAGGAACCCACACTCAACAAAATTACATTTCAAACTAGTCACAACACATTACGTTGCATCTAGACATTGGTTCTGTTGTAATACTTCAGTCTATCACGTATTATGATGTCATAGAATCACAACTTACAATCTATATCTGCTATTCTGTGACTGTTGTCATTGCATGGCAATCTTCTATGTCAAAATAACAAAATATCAACTTTGACAGGGGATATCTTTGTTTCATGCCTGTATAACCACTATGACGATGGCTCATGTGAGCCTAAAGCTGAGGACCAACTTAATAAAAATATATCCAAATGTTGGACAATTTTTCTCTTTATTTTCACCCAAAGTAAAAGAAACATTCGAACATTATAATGGCTCATGATCAGACATAATAGACATTCATTGTCTGTTATATTTAATAATATATGTTTAAAGAATGATCTGCTGCTCCAATACATACATACAGATACACACACACACACACACATATATATATATATATATATATATATATATATATTTGAATTGTGGTCATATCAGGTTGAAACCCTGGTTCCCATACAATCATTAAAGTTAAACAACATCGAGCCTGGTCAGTATGTAGAGTGGTAACTGTTTGGGAATACCAGGTGCTGTAAGCATGGATGTGCAGGTGGTGTCATGGATAATGGCTCAGAATTTTTTATTGGGAAGCAGATTTCCAATTCCAATAAGGTTTGTTATATTCACTTACATGCAAATACCCTTGGAAAAGGTATGAATCCAACTCTTCTTCCCCCAGTTATGGGTTAATTAGTAAGACTTGCTGCTATCCATTATGCTACACATATTGAGAAGATGCTATGCATATAAAAAACACAAAATAAAAAAAAAATAACAAAAAGAATATTCTTGGAATAAGCAAGCATCTAAAATGGTCTCCACTATTCTAGTATCCAAGAACCTCTTCCACTAAACAAAAAAAATTATTCAACACATCATGTTGAGATAAATTTCTAAGAGGCACTTTAAAATGATTTCCAATGAAAGAATTAAAAAAAAGAGAAGAAAACTCGCTTCAATGAGGCCATACATTTGCAATTTATCCATTCAATGCATTAATTTCCGTTTTTAAAAAAGCTCAAGCAGACAATATTTCATAGAATACCACATTTTTAGCAAAAGGAGGTCATGCAACGTGACAATTAATAAAAGAATAGAATTAATTTTAATTAGTCTAATTTAACAAACCATTTATATAATCACTAATTAACAGTTTCTATTTTTGAAATTATAGCGTAATTTTATTTTAAAAAAAAATTTGAAAAAGGGGGTGGTATTAGTGCAAGATCCCCACCCCTAATTCAAGTAGAACAAGGGATCAAATCCTGGATTGATTTTACTTAGAAGCAAAAATGTTCCACTTATTCCTTTAATAATAACATTAATAATAATTATTAACATTTACCAAATATAAAACTCAGCATGACAGGGTCGGCCAATATCTGCAACTTTTATGAGGCGGAGACTGAAAGAAATTGCTATGAACACCACCCGAGCCCAGTTACAGACAGAGGACCTGGAACAATTCTATGGGACTTTACAATACACACACAGAGAACAATCAAAGCTAATCGCCCAGACATTTTGATCAAAGAGGGCAAAAACAGAATGTGCTTTCTTATTGACATGGCAGTCCCTGAAGACTGTAGCATATCTTTGAAGATCTTCAAAAAAAAAACAAAAAAAAAAACTATAAAAACAAGGATCTTGAAGAGTGGAAATCTCAAAAATTTAGTACATTATAATTCTTGTTGTGGTTGGAGCCTGGGCTTTGTTTGGAAAAAATTCTGATAGGCTCATTGAAGGGAACCTTGGTAGGCCATGCCTTAAAGAAACACAAAAAAATTGTTCTCACAAGTACAGTTCACACTTTATGAAGAAATGTAAAATGTATGTGCTGTTAGGGTGCACACTTTTTTTTTTCACCTAAAGCAAAGCTACAAAGCCACTGAGAATCAAAGAATTACTGAGTGTGAAATAATATGCAAAACACATTATTACAGATCAAGAACAATAAAAGAACAGAAATTAAGAAGACAGAAGATAAAGACTGGCATTGTATTGAAATTTTTGAAAACCAAACTTAAATTGAAAGCAAGAAACCAGAAGAGAGTTCCACAAGTGAGATTGGAGAAAGAAAGGTTGATAGTGGTAGATTATTTTTTGTTTAATGGTATATTCTTAAAAGTATAGCATGGTCTCAAGGAATACATGGTAGGGACAACTACTACTCATCTGTTGGTCAGAGCAGCCTTTCTAAGTGCTACCAAAGTGTTTGGGCTTCTTACTACCAGTCGGATGCAGAAGCCATAAAACTGCCAACCCAGTACCCTCATAATGAAAAGCTGCAACCGTTGATCAGTCAGATCAAAAAGTTAAGACAGTTAAATCATTATGGTCATGAAAAAAGAACTGGTAAACCATATCCTAAACAGGAAACAAAGGATAAAACTTTACTATTTAATAAACGTAGGAGGAGTGCTGGCTGGGTGATAGGTGGATCTATTTACTCTTATTAACTTGTTTGCAGCACAGGAGGATAGGTGATTTGAGACACCATCTCTTGGAAGGTTACCAAATAAGGCCTTAGACCCGTTACAGGCTGAGGAAGAATTGCTAGATTGTTAAAACCTCTCTGAAGGTTATCCCAGAAGTTGGAATCAAAGGAATATAATGAAATTAGATCACTTAAAATCATTATTTTTTCTACATTAGTGATTAGTGGAAAATGTCATGTTGCCATTTCTGACTTTGGTCTCTGGTCGGGACCCAGAAGAAAATGACTATACAAGAGAAATCAAGGGAAAAGATAATAATAATAATAAATTAAAAAAGAACATGAGGGAAACTAGCAGACAACTAAATAAATACCATGCACTTGTATATAAGATTTGGTAAAAATGCTACAGTCATCATCCCAAATAAAATGGAGGATGAATTTGCTGGGTCTATTTTGTTTCATTCTCTCTTTATGAGTGAGACAAAAAACATCAGTCTCACACATTTCTTTTTAAAGATAAAAATCTTCAATAAAAGACTCAATTGTTTTTCTTTCCAATATATCAAAATCTCAAACATTATCCCAATAGTAAACCCATATTTCTGTGATAACCATTTTAATGTCTGATTTTTCTGTCTAGCCAAATCCCAAACGTATATCGATTGTTATTGAAGGGTTAGAATCAAAGGAAATGCTTCGATCGATTGTACAATCAAAAGATGAGTGCTACACCAGTTTTGTAGTGATCACAAGCAAACTAGGAAAGCAGGCCTGTTACAGCTTTTCAGTGACATGTCAGTTGGCAATACATCTTGACAAGCACAAGTATTGCTCGGATGACAACAAATATGATTCACTTCCCTTTGAGAAGGTACAAGATTAAACAATTTAGGAAGGCCAGGGGCAAAGTTGGATAATTATTGAAAATGGAAAAATTTTGATCCTAGATCAAACGGCTCGTAAACTGTGGTTATGCTAGCATTAAGATCAAAACAGCCGCAACTGTCATGAGCATTCAATCTGCTTTCAGGCAGTCAACAAATCAAGTGAAAGAGGGAAGGAGGGACATGGTTAACAAGTGCAGATTTAATAGACAGAAACCTTTGTTTGTTTATGTTTGGACAAACAACAGAATAAAGTATCTGATCTTATTAACTACCTCATATATTTCATAATATTGTTCTCTAGAGAAAGGCAAAACTAAGTGAGAAAGTATGCTGTTCCTTCTGATTGTTTTTTACATTTTATCACCCCTTTGCTGGTTATTTGATGCCAGAATATATATTTCAAATTGCAAGAATTTTTTGGAGATCATAATGATTTACCAATATAAGTCTTACTAATTAACCCATAGATGGTGGATAGAAGAGGTGGACTCATACCTTTCCCAGATGTATAAGTGAATATAACCAACTCAACAGGAATTGGAACTCAGCTCTCTGATTAACAATTCTGAGCCATTATCCATTGCAGCACCTGGTATTCCTAAGTAGTCACTCATCTAGGTACTGGGTAGGCTTGACGTTGCTTAACTTTGGCGATCATATGGGAACTGGTGTTTCTATGTGATATGGCCACAAGCCTTTGTTACTTTTGGATAATGTTTCTGATCACTCTCTTACTATGAGGGATTTAAGTGAAGTTGCTTAACTTCAGTGATCATGAGGGAACCAGTGTTTCAATAAATGAAGGCTAAAAGGTCTAACATTCCCCATAGGCTTATCATTCACCTGGACACCAACCCAGGTATTTCTACATCGCCACACTTGTGCTATATCATTATTGATCCACTCTTATGAGATTTTACATTTTAAATCCTAGTGGATGTCTAGCCACCCTCTACACCAGAAAAAGCTTGGTGATGAAAATGGTTTAGTCATCAATAACCCAAGCATGTAAAAGTGAGTACAGGGTTATATATTACCAGTAGCACTAACAGAGTAACCTGAAACACACACTCGCACACATGAGGAGGTGTTAAAAAGTTCTAAACTCCCACCCATTGCCCAAAATCTTAGCATATGACCAACCTTGAGAGAGATGAGTGCTTCCTAGTCAGGCCAAGAACTTATCTTGTACAATAACTGAAGTTAATTGGTAGCACTAACAGAGTAACCTGAAACACACACTTGCACACAAAAGGAGATGTTAAAAAGTTTTAAACTCCCACACATTGTGCAAAATCTTAGCATATAACCAAACTTGAGAGAGATGAGAGCTTCCTAGCTAGGCCAAGAACTTTTCTTGTACAATCACTGAAGTTAATTGATTCTGATCAGAATGTATCTCAAAATGCTTAAAAATCGAAGACTGAAAGCAAATACCTTGTAAAATACCATCATGATAAATGCAAATATATTCACCATATACAACACAGATCATGTAACATTGTTTAGACAAAGCCAATACCTTAAACTAAACAAGATAACCAAACCTCTGATAAAAACAAAATAAAACAAATTAACTATGATTGCTCTCAGACACAAGTAAATGTAATAATAATCAACAACAAATAAGTAATCAATAGTAAATAATAAGTAAAAAGTTAATACAAATAACTACATTTGGATCCACAATTATTCCTACTCAATAGCCTCTAGAATAATTTGAAACATAATCATTAGTATCCATCCAATAACTGTTAGAGTAATACAATTGACCTTATTACCCATAATGCACCATTCACCAGTATATATAGTCAAGCCAAAACAAAACACATGGAAGATTGCATCCAAGCATGACACAGACTCTCACCACTAGGTGTTGACCTGACGTCTACTTTTATATTTACATATGCTCTTGTAATGAGCACTTTTATACATAAATATAGCATACCTTGAAACTATATTTTTATTATATATATGTGTGTGTGTAATTTATATTTTTAATTTATACAAGTTTAGATAAAATAACTTTAGAATAAATAAAAAGAAGCAATAACAATAATGGTAAAAAACACCATTAAACTATTATACAAAAACCAACTATATAGTAATCATATACTAAAAATAAAAATTATGTTAGAACCTAATACATAGATATGTATCACCTAATGACAAAAAGAAATTAAACTCATCACTTACTACAAAAAAACTAAAAATCTCTAACATGATCATTATGAGAAAACAATATATAAATTTTATATATAAGAATGATTTTAGGTAAATCTATAACAAAGTGGAAAAAAAATTTTGTGTCACATGTTTCATCCTTTAGGGCTTCATCAGACTAAAATGATGTTTACATTGGTGTGATTACACATGTACATAGAGGGGAGAGAGGGGTTGCTGAAATAAAAAAAAATTAATTTAAACTTTTAGAATCCCCTCTCCTTCATATGCACATGTAATTACATATATATAACTATCACTTTAGTCCAATGATCACTATCAATAAAACAAAAAAATGTGCTCTATCTCTGATATTGAGCACTTTTACTCATAAATATAGTATACCTTAAAAGTATATTTTTGTCATATATACATATATGTGGGTGTGTGTGTGTGTGCACAAACACACATACATACACAAATTTACACACAAGACATTTTTAAATGGTAATTGTAAATGCTGTAAACAGACATACTCCATTTCAGTGATTATGCCAGAATATTTTTTTTTTAAGTAGAAAAAGATTAGCTTTATAATTCAAAGCTATTTATTGGCAGCAAAATACAGCATACTCATGAATTGTCTTGAATGGAAAATCTGTTAATTGATTTCTGAGGACTAAAATTTGCAAATATCATTTGTATTTCTTAATTCCCTGGTGGAAATGAAAGTGTATATATGTGTTTTCAAATGAATGACTGTTAACAAATGGGGACCTTGGCCATAGACTAGTTCAGCAAGCTGATTGTCCCAAGTCACCTATGTGCAAAACATATCAGCTATAAGACACTGACAGGCAAAGAAGTCAGACCTTTTGAGTAATTATTATAGAAACATTTTAATACACTACAGTATTTTAACTTTGCAAAACAAAACAAGACAAGACGAGACAATCTTCTGAAATATGTGTGGGGTGGTAGTGAAATGATTGAATTCAGAGGCAAAACATAAGTATACAAATCCTAATAAAGAAAAAAAAAACTAAGTATGCAAATCCTAATCCAGGTTCAGTCTCTGAAAATGCTAGGAAACCAAAGAATATCAGCAGAAAGATTTAGTTAATAACAAAGATGAAGATAATAATCTCAATACAAGTTGAAAGAAGGAAAATACATCCTGTAAGGAATTGAGAAAATGCTCAGAAGGCCAAAGAATATATCAGCAGAAAGATTGAGTTAATAACAACAAAGATGAAGATAATAACAACAAAGATGAAGATAATAATCTCAATATTAGATGGAAGAAGGAAAATGCATCCTGTAAGGAATTGAGAAAAATGCTCAGAAGGCCAAAGAATATATCAGCAGAAAAGATTGAGTTAATAACAACAAAGATGAAGATAATAACAACAAAGATGAAGATAATAATCTCAATATTAGATGGAAGAAGGAAAATGCATCCTGTAAGGAATTGAGAAAATGCTCAGAAGGCCAAAGAATATATCAGCAGAAAGGTTGAGTTAATAACAACAAAGATGAAGATAATAATCTCAATAATAGATGGAAGAAGGAAAATGCATCCTGTAAAGAATTGAGAAAATGCTCAGATGGCCAAAGAATATATCAGCAGAAAGATTGAGTTAATAACAACAAAGATGAAGATAATAACAAAGATGAAGATAATAATCTCAATAATAGATGGAAGAAGGAAAATGCATCCTGTAAGGAATTGGGAAAATGCTCAGAAGGCCAAAGAATATATCAGCAGAAAGATTGAGTTAATAACAACAAAGATGAAGATAATAACAACAAAGATGAAGATAATAATCTCAATATTAGATGGAAGAAGGAAAATGCATCCTGTAAGGAATTGAGAAAATGCTCAGAAGGCCAAAGAATATATCAGCAGAAAGATTGAGTTAATAACAACAAAGATGAAGATAATAATCTCAATATTAGATGGAAGAAGGAAAATGCATCCTGTAAGGATTTGAGAAAATGCTCAGAAGGCCAAAGAATATATCAGCAGAAAGATTGAGTTAATAACAACAAAGATGAAGATAATAACAACAAAGATGAAGATAATAATCTCAATATTAGATGGAAGAAGGAAAATGCATCCTGTAAGGAATTGGGAAAATGCTCAGAAGGCCAAAGAATATATCAGCAGAAAGATTGAGTTAATAACAACAAAGATCAAGATAATAACAACAAAGATGAAGATAATAATCTCAATAATAGATGGAAGAAGGAAAATGCATCCTGTAAGGAATTGGGAAAATGCTCAGAAGGCCAAAGAATATATCAGCAGAAAGATTGAGTTAATAACAACAAAGATGAAGATAATAACAACAAAGATGAAGATAATAATCTCAATATTAGATGGAAGAAGGAAAATGCATCCTGTAAGGAATTGAGAAAATGCTCAGAAGGCCAAAGAATATATCAGCAGAAAGATTGAGTTAATAACAACAAAGATGAAGATAATAATCTCAATAATAGATGGAAGAAGGAAAATGCATCCTGTAAGGAATTGGGAAAATGCTCAGAAGGCCAAAGAATATATCAGCAGAAAGATTGAGTTAATAACAACAAAGATGAAGATAATAACAACAAAGATGAAGATAATAATCTCAATAATAGATGGAAGAAGGAAAATGCATCCTGTAAGGAATTGAGAAAATGCTCAGAAGGCCAAAGAATATATCAGCAGAAAGATTGAGTTAATAACAACAAAGATGAAGATAATAACAAAAAGATGAAGATAATAATCTCAATAATAGATGGAAGAAGGAAAATGCATCCTGTAAGGAATTGGGAAAATGCTCAGAAGGCCAAAGAATATATCAGCAGAAAGATTGAGTTAATAACAACAAAGATGAAAATAATAATCTCAATAATAGATGGAAGAAGGAAAATGCATCCTGTAAGGAATTGGGAAAAATGCTCAGAAGGCCAAAGAATATATCAGCAGAAAGATTGAGTTAATAACAACAAAGATGAAAATAATAATCTCAATAATAGATGGAAGAAGGAAAATGGAAGGAATTGAGAAAATGCTCAAAAAGAATATATCAGCATTGAGTTAATAACCAAAGATGAAGATAATAATCTGAATACTAGATGGAAGAAGGAAAATGCATCCTGTAAGGAATTGGAAAATGCTCCAAAGAATATATCAGCAGAAAGATTGAGTTAATAACAACAAATGAAGATAATAACAACAAAGATGAAGATAATAATCTCAATAATAGATGGAAGAAGGAAAATGCATCCTGTAAGGAATTGAGAAAATGCTCAGAAGGCCAAAGAATATATCAGCAGAAAGATTGAGTTAATAACAACAAAGATGAAGATAATAATCTGAATACTAGATGGAAGAAGGAAAATGCATCCTGTAAGGAATTGAAAAATGCTCAGAAGGCCAAAGAATATATCAGGAAAGATTGAGTTAATAACAACAAAGATGAAGATAATAACAACAAAGATGAAGATAATAATCTCAATAATAGATGGAAGAAGGAAAATGCA